TATCAAGTCAGTACGCATTTCCATGAGTGTGTGTATATATACCTATATGTATATCTATATCGATATCTATCTATACCTATCTATCTATTTTTCTTTCTTTCTTTCTTTCTTTCTTTCTTTCTTTCTTATCTATCTATGTATCTATCCATCCATCCATCCATCCATATCTATCTATCTATCTATCTATCTACTTGTTGTATGTTTGTTGTATGTTTGTACATACATATCGGTATGACATGCGAACCTTGTTCTGGGAACCACTGCATTCCAGCTTTTTGCCGCAAGCTGGATTGAATGGGTCAAGAGCAATCAAGAACATTGTCTCCGATAATGGTCAGATTCATAATTTGGCCATACCACCCTGTCTCCTTGTTATGCCTAAGAACGCCCGAAAAACCCAAATAAACATAAATAAACATGATAACAGAAAGTAGCCTTGATTAAAGCTTTCGATGTGCTGTTGTGCCATGGGCATGCCCGGCAAGCATACATTGCCCGAACCGGGATGGACAGTTTGCAGAAATTGGCTGCCCTGCCTTTGGTCGACAACGCCTGTGCCTCCCGAGCAAATCGAGACAGTTGGACCTACAGCGTTTATTGTCGAGAGATCCAGGCCGCAAATGCCACGGACCCCGATAAAGTGCAGGTGTCTGTAGTGTCCAGCGGTGAGGACGTGCGGCCTGTCTATGTGCGGCTTCAAGAGGTGGCCGCCTCGCAGTTGCTGCAGCTCAACCCCTCTGCTGCCATTGTGGCTTACTCAGAGTGGCGATCCAAATTCAGTGAGGGTCAATACTTGACCCTGCTTTTCTACCATGCTTTCATGTTCTTGGAAGTGGAGGGCGGGTTGGCCATTTGCACAGAAAAGTACAATGACAAGCTAGAACTGATGTTTGGAGAGAAGCAACTCCTGTCGACCTATGGCAAGCACTACCGCGCAACAGGAGATCAAAGAAAGCCGAGTTTTCAGCATTCTCATTGCAAAGTGGAGCGTTATGTCTCGATGAAAGAGCTTGTGGACTGGATATGCGGACCTCTTGCAATCGTTTGGCGGCCCTACTGTTTGATCAACAGCAATTGTCAACATTATGCACGCGACTTGGTGCAGTTTCTGGAAGATCGACACTTTGCGGAGCTTTTGTGTAAGGACCGTGAGGTGGTGCTTTCGGCTGTGCAGTGTGAGGGCCATCGCCTGTGCTATGCCCATGAGAGCCTCCAGGATGACCGTGGATTGGTCCTGGCTGCTGTGGCCACCGACGGCTGTGCCCTGGCCTTCGCGTCGGCACGGCTCTGTGGTGACCGGCAAGTGGCCTTCGCAGCAGTGAGGCAGGCAGGCGCAGCTTTGCAGTTCTGCAGCCGCTTCCAAAATGACGAGGAGCAAAGCTTTCAGGTGTTGGCCTTTGTGCGCTTTTGGTGCTTTTGTTGTTGCGAAAGCAAGCCGTTGCTAGCTGGAGTCTGGAGTTGCGGGCGGCTGCGGTAGCAAACCTCCAATACACTCCCATGGCCCATTCTCACGATCTTTTTCCCCAAACAGTTTACTGTTAGGGCTTCTCAATTCTTTTTTAAGATATGTCCGCCCTTTGTGTCACTGCTGGTGTCCGCCCTTTTCCGCTGGCCATGTATCATTTCTATTCATTTGTCTCCCAGGTCTATCACTGCTAGTGTCCGCCCTTTTCCGGTGGCCATGCAGCGTTTCTATTCATTTGTTTCCGAGGTATGTTACTACTAGTGTCCGCCCTTTTCCGTTCACAATGAAACATTTCTTTTCATTCCCCATCAAATTTGCCGTTACGTAGGATTTCTCAATTCTTTCTTAAAGTATTTTTCTATTCGTTTGTCTTAAAAGTGATTTCTTTATTTTTTTGTCTCTCAGATTCGCTGCCTGTACTGTTGGTGTCCGCCCTTTTCCGCTAGCCATGCAGCATTTCTATTCATTTGTTTCCCATGTGGTTTGTTTACTTTTGTTTTCCAGGTTCGGTGCCTCCCCTGTCCAGCATTTGAATTCATATTTGTCTCCCAAGTGATTTTCTGCACTTCCCCAAATAGGTTACTGTACTATTAGGAGTTCTAAATGCTTTCCAAAAGTCTCCGCCTTGCTGCCGGACAGCGTGTCCGCCTTCCGTCCGGCTTGTCTCCCTTAGTCTCCCTTCTTGTTGGTCACTGTGTCCCCCTTCTTGTTGGTCATTGTGTCCGCCTTGTCTCCATTCATTCTTTCTTTGTCTCCGGTTTTGTCTCCCTTCTGTTTCCTTTTGTCTTCCTCCTTGTTGTCCGTGTTGTCTTCTTTCTGTTTCTTTTTGTCTCTGGTCTTGTCCCCCTTGTTATTAGTCACTGTGTCCGTCTTGTCTCTCTTCTGTTTCCTTTTGTGTCCCTTCTTGTTGGTCATTGTGTCCGCCTTGTCTCCCTTCTGTTTCCTTTTTTCTCCCTTCTTGTTCTCCCTTCTTGTTGGTCATTGTGTCCGCCTTGTCTCCCTTCTGTCTCCCTTCTTGTTGGGCACTGTGTCCGTCTTGTCTCCCTTGTGTTTCCTTTTGTCTCCCTTGTTGTCCCCCTTCTTGTTGGTCATTGTGTCCGCCTTGTCTTCCTTCTTTCCTTTACATGTGTCATGTGCCTCCTCTCTCCCCCTCTCGCTTGCAACCCTTCACATTTGTCTCCCAGCTGCTCTGCCCTGCAATCCTTTATATTTGTCTCCCTGTGTCTACATTTGTCTCCCAGCTCTGGACTGCTATGTCCGCCTCTGCCTTGCAATCCTTTACATTTGTCTCCCAGCGCTGGGCTGCTCTGTCCGCCTCTGCCTTGCAGTCTCCCAGCTCTGACTACTGTGTCCGCCTCTGCCTTGCAATCCTTTACACGTGTCCTCGCAAGCCTTTGCATGTGTTTCCCAGCTCTAGACTGCTGTATCCGCCTCTGCCTTGCAATCCTAAATTTGTCACCCAGCTCTGGGCTGCATGTCGCTTGCAATCCTTTCATTTGTCTCCCTCTGTGCCTACATTTGTCTCCCAGCCCTGGACTGCTGTGGCCGCCTCTGCCTTGCAATCCTTTATCTCCCAGCTCTGGACGTCGCAAGCTCTAGTTGCAGAGTGTTCCGATTTTGAAAACACAAGCTGTTTAGGGTCTACGATGGTGTAATTTGGGGAAAGATGTTGCCGTCCGGTGTCGGGTTCGATTCCCGGTCGTCCGTTTATTTTCAACCCGGTCCCCAGCTCTTAGCTTCGCTGGCCTCAAGCAGGGCCAGTTACACAGCATAGCTAGTACAGCCTCCACACGGGCCAGGAGCTAGTCATGGCGGCAGTCCTTCAAGATGCCAAAGCCTTGCAATTTGCCAGCAGGCAATTGAAGCGTACAGCTGCAGTTGTTGTTGCGGCTGCAACGGACACGGGCCAAAAAGATTGGTCGCGGTTGTTTGCAGTCAGGGAGTTGGCTAATGATGAGGATGTGGCCCTCACAGCAGTTTCACTGGATTGGCAGGCGGCTCGCTACATATCTCCAGCGCTGCAAACTGATCCGTCTTTCATGCGACGAGCGATCTCGTTAAATGGCCTGGTCATACAGCTCACACCCATCTTTTGTGCCCAACAAATTCATGGGTTGTGTGCTGTGCGACAGAATGGCCTTGCTTTGAGGTTCCTCTCGGACGAACTTCGGGCAGATGCAAGGCTTGTGCGGGAAGCTGTGGCCAACAATGCCATGGCGCTAGAGTTCGCTTCTGAAGATTTACGATCCCGGAGAGACCTAGTCCTGTCGGCTGTTGTGAAGCATGGCCATGCATTACAATTTGCATCAGACCGGCTAAAGAAGGATCGGACTTTGCTACTGACGTCTGCCAGGCGCTACCTTTTCATTGACTGGCAGTGGCTGTTTGATTCAGAGCTTCGCAACAGCAAATCAGCAGTGCTAGGGGCTGTCCATGCTGACGCAACAGCGCTGCGATGCTTGGCACCTCAGTGGTGTAACGATCGTGATGTCGTGTTTGCAGCACTGCAACAAGAGGGAACCATTTTGGAACTTGCAACCGATGCGCTGCAGAAAGACCGTGATTTGGTTCTTGCGGCGGTTCGATCTGATGGCCGAGCGCTGCAAATGGCCGCGCCTGAGCTTCGAAGTGACCCAGAGATCCTGAGCTGCGCAGCCCGAAGGTGGTGGTCCTTTGACTGGTCATTCCTGGAAGACACCTTAAGATGCGACAGGCATGGTCTCACCATACTTACCTGCTTAGGACACTGAAAGACCAGAAACGATCAGAAACGTCATGAAGTATATCATGCTCTTTATATATATATATATATGTACATACTAATCCACAATCTATATAATGAGCTACATGTGCCACAGATGCAAACGAAAGCATTGAACACACTCCTTTGATACCCTTGCCAGGGCAGTCATCCTCACCGCTGTCCAGATTGATTGGAAAGCTTTGGAGCGCGCCGGAGATGCTCTCAAGGATGACGTTGAGGTGCTTTCGGCTGCGGTGCGGCAAAATGTTGGAGCCTTGTGCTGGGCATCTGAGAGCTTGCGCGATGACAAAGACGCGATGCTGGCACTCGTGCAGATCAATGGAAATGCCTTGCAGATGGCCTCAGATCGCTTGAAGAAGGATCGCGAAGTGGTGCTGGCTGCAGTGCGACAGGACGGTAAGTCCTTACAACATGCTTCAGAAGAGTTCCGAGAGGACGTTGAGCTGCTCTCCGCCTCGTCTCGATGGTGGACACGGGCGCGAATACCCGGTCAGTTGTGGTGGACACGGGCGAAAAGGGTGTGATGGTGTGACCATCAGTGAGCCAACCCACCATCCACCAGATCGCAGGGCTACCATTTTTGTCCTATGTTAGTCCTTGTTTGGCTCATTTGGTGAAATGGTGTCTGATGATGTGCGGGCCCGTAAGGACTTTCCCGCTCCTGCATCAAGATTTTGCCTCACCTCACTGTAAACAATGGCTACGGATGACCTATATATTATATCCTTTCCTGAACTCCCCGTTAGTGTTGGGGTGACATGATGTGCCCAGGAAAGCTTTGACTATCACAGTGTTGGAACCAGATTACAACGAGGACTCAGAGAGCACAGGTCTAATGAAGGGCATTTATTGACGGTGTCGAGCTTTGCGGAAGCCAGCCTGGATGTGAGTATGTGTACAGTGGGAACAAGTGCTTACAGTGCTTACATGCATTTTCGTTGTGCTTGCGACGCAAGCAGGTTAAGCCTGACCAAAGCCTTGCTTTGTTGAGAGACACGCCACTCACACTGGCAGGAGTTGAAACGCTTCGTTTCAGTGGAAGAACTCAACAGCTTTGTTCTTGCTGCCCGGGAGCCTCAGTTTTCCAGAGGGGTCCTTGATATTTCTGGATTTGATTCGGCAGGAATCATGTGACTGCCGAGTGCCAGCGTTGGCCAAGAAATGTTGAGTATCGCAAGGCAGTGCAAAGATTGAACTTGCACTGGCGGCTCCACACCATTTGGCCCAAGCCCAGCTGTTGCTGTTGGGGGCATTGTCCGCTGCCTCTCGGCCAACTGGGGGATGTGTTGGGTTTGCAAAATAGACGTTCATAATTCACTGCTAGGGGTGTGAGTTTTCTTTGAAATTGCACCGGGACTGTTGGTGCTTGTAGATCTGGCTGAGAGCAACCACTCACTGTTTGGGGCTCAAGGGTGGAGTGAGGCAAAACATTTGCGCGATGACGTCATTCCCATGGCCGCGGCGACACTCAGAGGCAGCACCAGCCAAGGAGCCGGTCTTTAAGTTGGATCAGATCTGTGCGTGAGCTGACAGGCCAAAGAGCAGAAGCGAAGCTCCAGGTGGTCAAGGACTACAACAGTCACCATGATATGAACAAATATGCAGATTTGTGGCAATCTTGCACAACTTTGCATTTTTAGGCAATGTGCTAAGCCTCCAGGCTAGAGCTTCCCAAGGACGATGAGGTATCAACGTTGGGGTGCCAAGTATGTCGAAGGAAGCGCATGCAGCGAGCTGAAAACAGTAGCTACAATGCAGCTACAGGCTGTAGTACTTTGGTCAGAACGGAAGCTGTCCTAGTCACGAAAGCTAGCATGCTAGCTGAGTTCTTCTTTGCTTTAGCAATTGGTAGTGGGATGAGCTGTGTGCCTTAAAGCTTGATATATCACGCTAACCACCCCCC